TAAAGTGGGGCCCACCGAATTACATCATGACCGTAGATCACCGTGATCTACGGCTAGGATTGGACACCGCATGCATCTTTGCATGCGGTGTATGTATGCAATAATTTTTCCTGTTAGTGGGTATGATTCGACCTTCCACAAATCGCCCCCACAGACCAACTGTATGAGTTGGTCGGTCTAACTTGGCAGGTCAAGTTTTGGTGTATAAATAAATAAATATGGGGCAAGATTTTGTAGATTTTCCAATATTCGCTAATCAATTTAGTGCTAATAAATTACAAGTTGGATTTTCATCACAAATTGGTATCCTTTTATCAGCCAATTTTTTTGTAAATTATCTTTTTGAGGGTTTTATGTATTGTGTTGGCAGTCGCCATAGGAGAATTCTGTCGGTTGCATTGAAAATAATTTAATTTAATATACATATATAATTTTGGTTTTGAAAAATAATATTTTGATTTAAAAAAAATGAAACCAAATAGATCTCATATATTTAATAGTTTAAGTAACCGAGTAGAACACTGCATGTAATATGTTATCACGAGGAGATATACATACTACTGGGCGATGAGCTCAATTACATAAACTAAACAATTTATGACATTCGTTTGGTCTGTGAATTTTTTTATGTGACCAACATGTTCTCCTACCTAATATTAAAGATTAGACAGGTTTTATATTACTTGGATTCTTAATTATAGTTAATTACATCTTAAATGACCAAAATCACATAAGAAAACTCTCGATAATGGTCAGTGGTTTTGTCTTGAAAAATTCAAAGTTAAGTTTTCACGATTGGTCGTAGGAAAAACAAGTGGGAAGGACTAAAGTATGAACAATTATTTGGGAGGCCAAAGGAGCGAAATGTAGGGGATGTCACAGATTCAGAGGAGAAACCTTGGTGACTTCCCAAACTCTCATAATGTTTGGCTTTACATTTTAGGAATGAAATTATTTGATGTTTACTCAATCCAATTATTTAAAATATAGGGCGTACACTTGCACAGTGTCTGATCATGCAAATAACCTATGAATATAGGAGGGTTTATGTCGTATTGAATGAACAACTTCAGAATCCTAAAATAAATTAAGACTTATACTACACAACATGATCTTGTAAGAGCCTAAAGATATAGTGAAGATTTATATCGCACTAGGTGGACAACCTCAAAGTCCTATGGATTTAATTTATTTAATACTAAGAAAAGTTGTTGAAGTAGATTTGTTTCATTGTTCAATCTTGACCGTCGTCCGAAGTTGTCCTTCATTCGCTTGCAATTTGCTCTAAGCTCCTTGTTGTGATGGTTATGGGTTTAAGGTTTATGTGTGAACATGCATTTTTGTTGACTCAAGGGCTTATCGTAGGAACCGCCTAAACAAGTGTCATAATGTTGTCTACCCTAGGGGTCTTTGCAAATATAACAAATCACGTGTTAGTAAAAGAATGGTAAAAGCATAATGAAAATAAGGTAAACATGCGTACTTGTGATTCCTGTCGCCGCTGCCAAAAGAGGAACTAGGAATTCAAACTTAACCTTATTATAAAAAAACTGACCTGACCGTAGGACCTCAAAAACACCTAGCAAATGTTGTAAACATTTAACCTTGTTAGAGTTATAAATCAAAATATCGTCAAAATAGATAGCTACAAACTTTCTCATAAAATGTTGGAAAAGTTGATTCATTAGCCACGTGAATGTGCTAGGAGTGTTAGAAAGCCCAAAGAGCATCACCATTCACTTGTATAGCCCATCTTTCGGCTTGAACATTGATTTCCGCTCATCTTCTTGCCCACACGCATTTGATGATACCCGCTTCAAATGTCTATTTTGAAGGAAAAAAACTGCCCATTTTAACTTATCAAAGAGTTCATCCAATCGAGGAATGGTAAACTTATATTTGAAAGTGATTTTATTTACAGACTGACTATGAATGCACATACTTCATGGTCCATTCTTCTTTGGAATTAAGAGAGACGGACTAGCACTATGCCTCACCAAGAATTTCTTGATTAATTCATCCACTCGGAATTGAAGCTTATGTTCCTTTAGAGACATCCTATATGTAGGTTTGTTGGAGAAGACCAAACCAGTCACAAAGTCTCATAGAAAGTAATCCTGTTGAAATGCCCGCCGAAAAAGATGTCTTCAAGCTGTTGTATCAATCCTTAGACTTACACGATATTGTGTCGATGGATGTCCAGAAGTTTATGTGATGATTAGAAGGTACTCGTAGTTGCCTCCTTCATTTTTTTCAAAAGTAGAGTAAAAGTGTTGGATTCAATCCCTATTTGAATTTCCTCCTTCATTGCACCAAGTGTTTGAATTCCTTCTTTGATAAATGAATAAGTGTTTGCATATCCATCATGAATCATATGGTGATAATATTGTCACAGCCGATAAAGCAATGTATGCCAAGCGTCCATAGAAATTACATCACATAAAACATGCTCCTGAAGTTTTTGACTGATAAAAAATTGCACTAATCATTGTCAGGGGACTTTAATCTCCACCCCCATTTTGAGCCACATAATTTGATAGGGATGGGGATGAAGTTGTGTAGTGAGCATAAGCTTCTCCACTATAGTTGTTGAAACCATGTTTTTACAACTTTTGTCGTCAATGATAGAGTTACAAACCATGTCTCAAACCGTGCACTAAGTTCTAAAAAATGTTATGCAACCACCACTTTTTATTAGAAGATTGTTACACTTAGAGGACGCCTTATCACAAGTATGGAAATGAGGAAACCATGGGATCCTAACCAGAGTAGCTCTATTCAATTTTCACACTACCCCAC